AATTTGTATCCCTGGAGTGGATGTTATTTTGGAACTTTCAACTGGTCCGGGTGAGCTAACTGATTCTTTAGCAATAAACTGTGACTTCAGAAGTAATATTCACTGACACTGACAGCAGCAAGCAAAATATCAGGTGCGTTTTAACTTTTAATCATCCGCTTCTGCTTGGTGGACGTCATTTACACCGATTTTTTTAAGGCCTTTGATCGTATTAACCATAAAATTTTACTTAGAAAGCTGAATTCGGTGTCTTTTTCGCATGACTTGCACGAATTATTTTTATCGTACTTATATGACAGGTGGCAATATGTTAAAGTAAAATCCTCTTAAACCGATTATTTTCCACAATACTTTGGAGTTCCACAAGGTTCTATTTTTGTTCAGCATCTAGACACTAAATTTCTAATCTACGCGGATGATTGTAAGTTATTTAAAAAGATAAATAAATCTAAATGACTGCTTAGTATTACAAAACAACATTGAAGCTAACTCAAAACTGGTGTAATTCTAATTGTCTAGAACTAAACGCCCAAAAATGTAACGCGATAACATTCGCACGTAAAAAAATCTGATGTGTCCAACACATGACTTTCCTATCTAGTTATTATAGGCTTTTTCTGGTTATTTTGTACAACCTATTGTAACACCTCTATAAATGTTTGGAGGATAAACTAAATATATATTCATTTTCCACACACATCTACCTCGAAACATTTTTCTATAGATATTCATTAAAAATGAAAATACTGAAAAATTTAAATTTAGCACTTTTTCTACAATTTTTCCATTACGGTCCATTTTAGAAAAATCATTTATAAACAAAAATTATAGAGATCGATATCGCAAACAACTTTTAGTTCAACAATTTTCTTAAAAATCAGAATTTGGCACATTTTGTCAAATTTCTCGAATACGGACCATTTCAGGAAAATTTGTCATAATACAAAAATTATAGATAATAATATTAGAAGTAATTTTTATTTAAACTATTTTCTTCTCCAAACATAAATAACAGATATATTCCATAAAATATAAAAACGGCCTCCCATAAAGTACCCCCCCAGATGTTCCGACACTGCCCAAAAACTAATCAGTTCATTGGACGCAGGAATAAAGCTTAAGTTTAAAATTTGGTGTTTTTCGTTGGGCTATATCAAGCACTCTGTGGCGGCACCATACAAGACCTGGTGGGTTTTTTGTAGCTTTTTTGTTACGTTATTTGCGAATTTGTAGCTTTGCCCAGGGGGTCGATTCTCGACTCGTAGGAATATTTTCCTATAGGAATTTTTGACATTTTTATATACATCGAAAATTTATGACATTTTCCTACATATAGGAAAGTGTCACAAATTCCTATAGGAAAAGGTTCCTACAAGTCGAGAATCGACCCCCAGGTCCGAAAATACAGCGGATCCGCTAGCTTGAATTTCCATAGTAGCGGCACAGATTCAGACCACAAAGCACATAGAGGTTCCACGCGAATGACCAAGGTCAAAACCGACAACTGACATTTTTTATGCTATTTGCTCCAAACTCTAGATGGGGCTACTGGTGAAATTATGATTTCTTACTCCATTTTTAAGCCTTATGGGAGAAAAACTTAACCAAAGACTCCAAAGATGTGACGTGTATTTATTTATGTTCTTGGTTAGTTTCATTTTTCCGTCTGATTTTAGTGATTTTTTTGTTGGCTTTGGCTTTTGGTTTCTGTTTATAGTTTCGTCTTAGTTATTTGCAAAATTGTGATGTTTCGCTTTTTTATTTCCTACTGTGTTTTGCAATAATTTTGGTGCTACGTTGAAAACTTCGAGAAAAACTTCATTGATTCACCATATATTCACCATGCATCTGCATCATAAAAAGACAAACGGGGACAACAACTAATTGATAATCAATTTATCACTGGACTAGATTCCGAAATCATTTTTCACATAAGAGAGTAATACCACCATCTGTATTTGGAAGGAAAATACCTATTTATCATTGAATGAATAGTTAAAAGGATTCACCTTTTAATACAATACCTATATTACATTTGTCCTCAGTTAAAAAGACATTTATAAAATATATAACTTTAGTGTTAATAAAATGTAATATCCTAGTCTCTACTTCACATTTAAATTATTGATAGGTACCTATTTTAAAGATTTGAGATTATATATCTATTTGCTCCAAGTAAGTATTCGTTAAATATGTATTATTATTTGTATTTATTTTTATCTAATAATATTTATTTATGTTATTAATAAACATATTTTAAGAATGTTCTATTTTATTATTTATTGATATATCTTATATTTATTTAATAAAAATATGCAGAACCAACTCTCCACATTAGACCCCTTATAACAAATTAATTCTTCAAATTTGGTATAATCGACCTAAATTATTTTGTAAAATAAAAGTTTCGAACTTACTAGTTCCATACTTTATTTTATAAAATAATTTATGTAGAAATCATTTAAAATTTAATTTAAAACTACTACCTACTCCTAAAAATTACAATTTGAATTTACCCCCATCTGTCAATTGTCATTTTAGTTCCAGCTCCAAACACAAGGTGGCGCTAATTTGGTTTAAAAGTTTAACATAGGCGTGGGGTCTCTAGAAGATACATGCTTTGTGATTCAGACCCAGCTGGTTTTTCGTAACTTTTTTGTTACGCCTGTCTCGATTTCGTTGCGAGGCCTGAGCGTTAGTAATAATCGTTTCTCCATGAGCGTGAGAGAAAAGTGCGTTAATTTAAAATCAAGTTTCGGCCTCTACAAGTAATATGTGCAACTCGATAGTGTGACTATCTGTTGCTAGATGGCACCAGTATTGCATTTCACGAATTATGGCCATCTTCCATCCAATATATTTTTGAGACATTTTTAGATATACTCGTAATCTCAAAATCGGACATTTGTTTTTAAATGTTTTTTAGTGTTGTTTATGTATTTATACTTTTGTTGAATCAACAATATTCTTACATCTTTTTTGAATGATTTCCTTAACCAATCTTTTGCAGTATTTATGGACCAGTGTTTAATTCTGTCCGATCACAACTATACAGGGTGTTCCATCTCAGACGAGCCACCCCGTATATTTCTTATCCCATAGTAATTGGAAAAATTTCCCGAAACACATCGGATGATTTTCTTTGGGGGACATCTTTTGACGTATATTTGAGGCTTGAACTAGCAACCCCCTATGAGGAAGCGCTTCAACCCCTCAAAATGGATTAGGGAAGAAGGGTTGAGTGATACATCATTTGTAAGGTCTTGAAAGTCTCTTTACAACGGTGCATAAAAAAACCACATTCTTAAAAAAAATTTATTGTTTTATCACATGAAATATGATCGAAGAAACGTGATAAACACCTTCTAAGGACAAAAAATGAATAAGAATTTTTGTTTTTTTTTTTTATTTATTAGTTCGAGAGAATTTATTATTGTATGGAAGTCAATGGAGGACAATTTGAACATTTCATTCAAAAACGCAGTTTTGATTTTTTTGATTGTAAGCATGATAAAACAATTGATTTTTTTTAAGAATGTGATTTTTTTTCATACACCGTTGTAAAGAGGCTTCCAGGACCTTACAAATGAAGTATCACTCAACCCCTCTTCCCTATTCAATTTTGAGGGGTTGAAGCGCCCCGGCCTTATAGGGGTTGCTCGTTCAAGCCTCAAAATATCCCAGCAAACACTGATGTGCCGAAAACTTGTCGGCCGATCATTGAAATTATGGTACAAAAATATAGCAATTAAATATAATGCAAAATAGGCGGTTTAGTTTAACGTAGAGACATATTCACATTTATTGGCACTATGTTATCGCATATTAAGTGTAAATTAATGTCATACTCCTCTATTACAAACTGATATTCTTCTTGGGTGGCTCTAAAGCACTGTGCCAGCATTTACAAGTGACGGGGAATCGAATGTCAGGAGAACATCGGCCGCCTGGAGGCGGGGATGCCGGCAGTGTACTCTATCATAAGTGCTTTGCCGACACTTCAAGTACTGTTTACATGTATTGTGCCAGTGTTGGGTCGTTTATCTGTGTTTGTTGGGATACGTCAAAAGATGTCCCCCAAAGAAAATCATCCGACGTGTTTCGGGAAATGTTTCCAGTTACTATGGGGTAAGAACTATACGGAGTGGCTCGTCTGAGATGGAACACCCTGTATATAGTGAGAATAGGTAATTGCTTAGTAGCTATTACCACCGGTGTGAAGTTAGCAGTAAGTTTTAGCAGTAACATATGACCGAAAACACCCGATCGGGAAAATAGTGGCGTCCGGCATATAACTATTTTAATAATCTTGTCATTATGTATTTTACATTAATATTGGACAAATAATTAATATACATACCGTTGAAAATGTCCGATTTTGAGATTATATCTAAATCACAGCTTATTTATATAAGCTGTGTCTAAATTTCTAAAAAATATATTGGATGGAAGATGGCCATAAATCGTGAAAAGCAATACTGGTGCCATCTAGCAACAGATAGTCACACTTGATTTTAAATTAACGCACCTTTCTCTCACGCTCATGGAGCTCATGGACAAAGATTCTCATTCAGGCCTCGTACCGAAATCGAGACAGGCGTAACCATAGAAAAACTAAAAAGGGCGTAACAAAGAAGCTACAAAAAAGTTACCAAAAATTAGCCGGGTCTGAGCTAGTGCCGCTACAAATATCCGCTAAGCTAGCGGATCCGCGCTTTTCTCAGGTTCAGTACAAGCTACAAAAGGGAAACTAGCGTAACAAAAAAGCTACAAAAAAACCCACCAGGTCTTGTGTGGTGCCGCCAGAGTGCCCGCTAGCTTGATATAGCCTAGCCCCGAGCGTGTTTCCTGAATGCGCTCCAGGTTGCCATATCAATGCAGCTAATATAATAACAACTAGTGACATCTATATCAAATTTACTGAGTTTAAATATACTGGCGGCAAAGAATACCTGTTCTTTACTGGCGGTAAATTTAACTACAATTTAATTATATAAAGTATTGTCCTATACATACTTTTACTTTTAATAGAAGTAATAAATTAATATAATTATATAAGATTTATTAAAGCGCATAAAAACATAGAGATTAAAGATTAATGGTGAATGAGTAGATTAATGTAAATTACTGTTCGTCCTATAATTTTTTTAAGCTACTGTCCCAACAACCACACTGTCACTCATCACAGCGAGGTATGTTCCTATGTAAGGTTATCAATAAATATTTTATAATAAAGGCAACAACAGAAATTTATCTGCAATGTCAAAAACAAAACACAATCGTTCGTTTTCATTCACAGCGTCGTTTAGAAGAAGCATACCGATTAGTCAAAAATAAATGCCAATGTAAGTTGTTTCTTAAATCCTAACCTATAATTTAAAAACTATTTTTTTTTTGCAGCAAAAAAATTGCCAAAAGATGTTAACCCCAAGGCCGTTTTTGCCTGTAATGAACTAGATCTCAAAGAAGTTAAAGTCTACGGATTTGATTATGATTATACACTTGCATGTTACAAACCTTCCTTGGACTATCTTCTCTATAACTTAGGTCGCCAAACACTGATAGAACAGTTCAAAGTGAGTCTAATGTAAATAAATATTTTTAGGTAATTAATTAAATGAAATAAATTTAAGTGTTCTCATATCAAACCTTTTCTTCAAATACCTATTCATCTGTAATGCTATAAAATGTATTACTTAAAATTGTATGATGGGAGTAACACATAATTTACTTTATATTTACATTAATATGTAATTTGCTATTTAATGCAGGTTTAATTTTTTTATAAATGTATTTTAGTATCCTCAAGAAATTATTAAACTTCCGTACAAGCCTGGTTTTGCTGTTAGGGGTCTACATTATGATATTGAAAAGGGCGTCTTATTAAAACTGGATTCCTTTCTACAAATTCAATTTGGTTCTGTGTATAAAGGACTAACACCATTAACAAATGATGAAGTGCTTAAGCTGTACAAAAACCGAATTATTCCTATTGCTTATGTAGAAGGACACACCAAAAATGCAGCGGTAAAAAATGTCTACTTAAGGCTTTTTAGTATAACTGTATAGTTTAGATTTAAAGCAATTTAGGATGTACTCACTCTTTTTAAATAGGACTTCCCTATTAAAGTTAAATATTTCTTCATCATTCATGTTTGTTCAAAATGACATCAGAGTCTATACATTGGCTGATATGAATAACACCCAAGTTTAAACTCCGAGTATGTACTCATGAGCATGAAGTGGAAGTTTGTGCTCCAATTTATATGAATAAAAAAAATTTCGTTTTTACTAGTATCCTGTACATAAAAGTAGATACTCGTCATTTTATTTCCAAACTTGTCTGAGCCTGTAACGAATAACATTAACCTCCTCTTGTGCTGGATACTAAAGTGGAATATCTTGTAATGGGGGCTCCATGAAATTAAGTTCATCTGGGTCATTTAATATCAAATCAACCAAAATATGGCAGACCATCTCACCAATTTTGATAAAATTTGGTACACTGATTCTCTATATGGGTGGAATGAAAAATCAAAAATATTTTTTTTCTGATCAGTAGTTTTTTTTATTTATTTTCAAAAATCGAAAAATTGACAAATTTTAGTCCAACACAACTTCACAAAAATTAGATTATCTTGAGAGAACTACTTATTGTAGATCAATGAGATATAGCTCCTTGTAAAGGTAATTTAAACACCTTTCCAACTATGTGTCACATGACCTATTTTATTTTCATGTTTTTTTTTAATATTGAAAAAAACATTTTTTGATATTTTCAAAGTCATTTTTTTTATCAATGCTTTGGCAAAATATGTGCCAAATTTCAAAATAAAGAAATAATTGGTTCAGTGTAAAAAAAAAATTATGAACATTTTTGCCTTATTTTAGTAATTTTTTTAAGACTAACTAAATTTTACAAGAAATATACTTATATTATTATGAAAATTTTATGACAACAATTTTCAGCCAATAAAATGCAATCATTTCTGAAGGTTGCCATGACAACCTTCGTATTTATTCGGTAATTGCCCTAACTAGCTGTAAGATTAATAAGTGGAAATTTACCTGCCTTGACAACTATCATAAAAATCAGTGATGTAGAATAATTTTGATAAAACTAAGCCCACAATTTTTCGCTCTTTAGTATTATACAGGATGTTTTCAAAGTTGAGTCATTTATTTTAACAGCTTGTAGAACTCTTCAAAAGAAGTCTATATACCAAAAATCACCTAAATAAAAGTTGCATAATAAGGGAGTTATAGGTTTTTTTAAAAACATTCATTATCAGTAAAATGTATTTCATTTTTACAAAAATTGTCACCATTTGTCCGATTAATGCATAGTCTTGCTCGGCGTATCCACGACTCCTGACAGGCCTCAAAAATAAAATCCGGATGTCCGCGAATAACATCACAAGCATTTACAATGCGGTCTTGAAGTTCTTCCACAGTATTTACTTCTCCATCATGATACACCAACTGTTTCAAATAACCCCACAGAAAAAATCACAAGGCGTTAGGTCCGGGGATCGTGCAGACCAAGAAACGGGTCCATTCCTCCCTATCCATCTATTCGGAAACTGTTCATCCAAATATTCACGAACTCCTCTTCTGAAATGCGGTGGAGCTCCGTCATGTAGCAACCACATATCCTGCCTAACATTCAGTGGAACAACTTCTAATAATTATGGCAGATGGTGTCGAAGAAAATCTAAATAAATGTCACCGGTTAGCCGAGGTGGAAAAAAGTATGGTCCAATAAGCATGCCATTTACTACACCAGCCCAAACATTTAATGAAAATCTATATTGGAAATTAGATCTTCTTACGGCATGCTGATTTTCTACTGCCCAAACCTGATTGTTGTGAAAATTGAATATCCCATTTCGTGTAAATGTGGATTCGTCTGTAGCTAAAATTATTTTCGTAAAATCTTCATTTCTGTTCAACTGTTGTAAAACCACTGGCAAAATTCAACTCTTCTAGGATGATCTTCAGGTTGTAATGCTTGTACCCGTTGATAATGATAAGGATAATATTGTTCCTGTCGTATTGTTTTCCACACTTTAGTATGGGAAACATCGACTTGAGTTGCTATGGCTCTGATACTTATTGTTGGGTCATCTTCCAACATTTCCAAAATATTTTCCCCAATTTCTACCATTTCAGGTGGAGCAGGTCTTCCAGCGTGACCCCCTCGTTGTTTTTTCAAGTAACCTGTCTCACAAAGTCGAATAACTAAATTTACAAACATCCGTGGACCGGATGATTTCTTAATGGAAACCTTTCCGCGTAAAGGCGACATGCTGCAGCTGCATTTTGTTGGCACTCTCCGTATGTTAGTATTATGTCCACTAGTTCATTGTTTCCATAAACGTGGGCCTTTTTTCGTACAAAATATCAAAAAAATTAAAGTGATACGAACTAAACACTTGATACCAATAACTAACCGAAAATCGTTCTCAAAACGGTAAGACAAAAAAAAATAGCCATACCTAGATAAGTAAAATTGTCATAGTAAACAAACAACGATAAGTTTTTACTTGGCAGTGGTCAGGAATACTAAAATATGCGGATAAATAGTTTGTATTTGTTTTAGTTTTAAAATTTTGAAATTCCTTTTTATTTCTTTTAATATGTAACTTTTATTTAGATGATTTTTGGTATATCGACTTCTTTTGAGGAGTTCTACAAGCTGTTAAAATAAATTACTCAACTTTGAAAACACCCTGTATAATTATGTAATATTGGTCAAATATTATCTACCTTATTCAGGTATATAAACCACATCTTACTAGAGCATAGGGTTATTAAAATGTTTGACATCAAATATGTGATTAATAAATAACTGCATCTATGTTCAACAGAAGTAGACGTAATTTTTTCCCTTTTCTCTAGTGCTATATAATTGTGTGATATTACTAGAATGATATCTAGCCTTTTCAAGTAAATTAACCACATTTTACTAGAGCATAGGAAAACTAAAATATTTAATAAACACGACTACATACCTTGTTTTGTAATTAGTCAGGCAAACTCATCACTCAACAACCTACTATGATATCTCCAATAAAAAAGTATGTGTTTAACTAGCACCTATCACGAATTTAATTTTCCTGTTAAAGAGCAGGTACCTCTTTGGATTTAGGATGGTTTTGTCATAAAATTTTCTTACTGAATACCCCAAGGCCAAAATTAATTTCAGAAATTTTTTTTAGCACTAGAGGTATTATAAGTGAAAAAATATTTACAAATAATTTTTGGTTTTAATTTTTCTTTCCAAAATGTTTGAAGATTCAATAATTTCTTCCCTAGTTAAAATATATGTCTGGCCATTAGCAGTATGAGGGTGTTGATCGCGGTACACGAGGAGTTTATATCTACTTACATTAATGTAAGAGCACTCTTTCCCCGATTTTAATTTTATAGATTTAATATTAGTAAAAATTAAGCTTAATTTAACGTCCTTATATATATGTAACCTGTATATCCCACCAAAAACCCCACTTGGTGAATACGAACAATTGTTTGATTCTCTGGAGACATTAGATTTTTTACATGATTATAAATTTATAATGATAGGTGATTTTAACATACCTGATTATGTATCTAACATTCAAACTAATCTTAAATTAAATAGCTTAAATAATTTTGCCGACGTTCTAGATTTGACTCAACATAACTTTGTATTCAATGATTACAATAAGCTCTTAGACTTGATGTATTATAAACATTTCTGTTTGGTTGAAAAATCTTTAGAACCTTTACTAGAAGAAGATAAATATCATCCGGCTTTAGAAATTACTTGTAGAATAAACGAAAAAAAGCAATATAAGAAAAATCTTGAATCCTCTTACACGAATTGCTACAATTTTCGTAAAGCAAATTTTCCGCTCTTATATGGAATGTTATCTACTGTGAATTGGGATTTTTTGGAGGTTTTCTATGATGCTGAAGATGCCTGCACGTACTTTCATGGTAAATTATACAATATACTAGATCAGTGTATACCTAAATATACTGTAAGTAATAAAAGAAAATATCCTCCGTGGTTTAATGGTTCTATTATTAAGAAACTTCGGAAAAAGTCTAAACTTCATCGCTTATATCAGAATGAGAATAATATTCAAGCTCTTCAAGAATTTAAGCTCATCAGAGCTGAAATTAAAACTTGTGTATCTGAAGCTTATAAAAATTACATAGCAAATCTTGAATCTGAAATCTCAGCAAATTCAAATAAATTTTGGGCATACGTTAATAATAAACAATGTCAAGGTAAAGTTGCAAGCAGCATGAGTTTTGAAAATAAAACATTAAATAATCCAATGGAAATAGTAGGAAGCTTTGCGGAATATTTTGGACAATCTTATGTCGCTTCCAAGGGTTCAAAAATATCATTAAAGGACGTCCAGCCATCTCAGCTTCATATAACTCATTTTTCTGAAACCCAGGTCCAGGATGCTTTGAAAAACATTAAACCTAAACGTACCACAGGACCGGATCCTGCGTTCATTTTAAAAGATTGTTCAGCAGTATTAGCTCGCCCTCTAACTATTTTGATAAATATCTGCCTTAAATCCAATACAATTCCTTCGATGTGGAAATGTTCTAAAGTCTGCCCAATTTTTAAAAAAGGTGAACTTACTGATATCAAAAATTATAGGCCGATTTCTATCATTTGCAATTTCTGCAAAATTCTAGAAATATTACTGGAACGTAGTATTTATCAACATGTTCGTAACGCAATCTCAGCTCAGCAACATGGTTTTGTTAAAGGGCGTTCCACAGTAACAAATCTTTCTGTTATCACACAGCAAATAGCTGAAAATATTGATAATCGGGTCCAAACTGACGTCATCTATACGGATATGACAAAAGCATTTGATAGACTTGATCATAATATTATGATACAGAAACTCTGCGTATTTGGTCTTTCTAATAGTTTGATCACACTTTTTCAATCGTATCTCTCTCAAAGAACACAATATGTTCAATTAAACGGATTCAAGTCTAACAAATATTGC